GAACCGTCCGTTTGGGGACAGCAGTTCGTGAAAGATCTGTCGTATTTGTCATCATCGAGACAGCCACGGCGGCGGCGACGACGGGGAGGGGGGGGGGGGCCGAAACAGGGGCGGCCTAAAATCGACGACAGGGTACGGACAGAGTTTTCTGGCCGCACCTGCCAAATGTCTTGAGAGTTGAGACTGAGGATACGTAGGGTCGACTGAGCTCAATGGTCACACATGAAGGTGACGATGGAGATACGCCTTGTGGGTGGCGCCAAGCCTTCTTGCACGGGGGTCCACAGTCCCCTGACGCCATTCAAACGATGACACCACCGTCCCACACAGGCGGCCCGTCTAAAACAGGCGAGGGGCGCGCCGCGGGTTCCCAGGCTAAACAGCTTCCATTTAACGTTATCTGGGAACGGAACAAATGACATCCGGCACTTGGTCACAGGAGCTGGCGGCAGCGCGCCGCCCTGGGACTGCCTCTGGGACGATAGGGCCGCGGGTAGGGGTGTGTCAGGCGGTCGGCGGGCCTCGCCGAGCCGCTTCCAGGAAGTGGGCTCATTGGCCACTCCTGGCCGGCGCACACAGTCGACCTCTGAATAAAATAGCGATTAAGGCGCGATGGGCCATCTGTTACAGAGGCGTGGTCGGCGGGCCGTGCCGCGACGTGCATATGAATGCGGCCGCCGCGTGCCGGTGACTGGCGCCGCGCGGGGCGACTCGATGGCCCCTCCTCTCCTCAGACGACGTGCCCCGGGGGGAGAGAGTCGCCGCGCCCGTCTGTCTCTCAGCGATGGCGGCCCGAACACGCCCTGGCAGACCCGAGTCCTCGAGTGTAGAGGCGTGCGGTGAGGGCGGCGGGGTGCCGCCAGAGACGGGTCATGCAAATAACAGGGAGGGGCCGGAGACGGGCGGTCGCGACGGTCGATCACACCCCGTGAGAGGTGAAAAGGTCTCTGCGGGGCGTGTTGAGCGCTGTCAGAAACAACTCAGCGTCAATCCCTTCTGGTGGCGAACGTTTTGCCTCCGGGACTTCTTGCACTATTGAAGTCTATTTCTTTCAATCCAACTTAGATTAGTGATGATCGGGGTTGGGCCCTGACGGCAGCCCCTGTCCCCGGTTGGTGTGAGAGTCCAGCTCACCATGTCAGCTCACCACGGGCGCTGCCATCAGCTCAGATTAGCTCATAATGAGCCGACAGCCAGCCCGTTACAAATCATCGCATTGTGAAACGGCCGGGCGGTAAGCAGAGCCGGTCAAACCCAGCGTGAGAGATGCAGAACAAGGCAGCTTAATAACGAGCAGCTCTCAGCGCATTGACAACTCAGACGGCGCGGATTATCGGCGCTAAGGGCCGGTCGATACATCACGAGGGCTCTCAGAAGTCCAGCGATGGGCCAGAAGGCTCGTCCGACAGATGTCTGGCCGGTCCACTCGCGGAGAGACGCGGCCGGACGAGCTGTCGAGACGCTGCCTCAATTTATCATCGCGCCACATTAGCACGCAATTACAGCACGATCAGCATTCATAATCGCGCAGTGAAAACATAATTGAGCCAAATAAGGCAAAAGCCGGCCGGTGCGGCCATCGGCTGGTCTGGCAGCATCTCCACCACTCGCACAGAAGTGCCTCCTCCCTTCGCCCCCCCCCCCCCCCCCCCCAGACGGCCTCGTGCCCCGCTTTGCTACGACCGCAGCCGAGGTCAGGTGGGGTGGGCGGAGCCTCTGAATCCCCAGCCCATGATTGGTGGATCGGAGCAACGGGGCCGCCGGCAGTCAGCTAGCTTTTCAGGGAGCCGGAGGCAGTTCCATGTATGTAGAGCGTTCCAGGAGCAGCCTCGGCCTTATCACGCCCTGCTGCCTTCATTACATGTGTCCGTACTGATTATTGATAATTTATCACTTTCTGGGCGGCGGGAGGCGGGTGCGTGTATGTATGTGCCGCTTTGGTGCCGCTCCCGGCGGCTTCGCTAACAAAGCACCGGCTTTATCGGCATCAGCTGGCCGCGAAATCGTTTCAGCGGCCGCGAAGTGGGCGGATTCTCCAGTGTCGACTGGTCGGCAACTGTTTAGCTGAGGGGTGGAAGCAGCCCGTCGGCCACCAAACGGCCGCTGCCGCACCTGCCCTGCATGGGAACGACGAGCCGGGAGGCGCGAAAGGAGCTCACGGCTCGGAGATCCGATAGAGCTGGATTCCCGGCGCCTGCCATTATCAAGAGCCATAGGCGGCCAGCCACTGGGCGGACAGGCTGCTCACCGACAAAATACGAGCCGAGCAGCGCGCCCCGACAGAAACGCATCCCACGCTGAATGAATGACTAATTGTTCACTGACGTCAACCGCGCGGTACTCTAATTACAGGTTTGGGCCGGTGGTAAATCCTCGCAAAGTATTTCTATACCAACAGTGCGGTCGTATATGCATGGCCTTGGGCTCCGTGTGTTTTACTGGTAGCATTTTATTTATAATGGCCGTAAAATCGTGCACGCAGATAACGGGTTTGCATGCCCATGGAAAATACCAGCCGTGCTTGAGAAAATGGTCGACTGGTGTGCTCCAAAAACATGGAAACACGTCGCAATGATGAAGTGTTTGAGACTGCGATAATGGGCGAAACACACATTGACAACATTCAACTCCCGTTTATTTAAAGCCGAGCATTACTGTCCACGTTAAAGCAACAGCCAGGAATGAGCCCATAGTGAACGTGCAAGAGAAATACCGCCGACTTTTAGTGTCTAATGAAATTACAATGCGTACTAAAGTGACGATAACCATGAGTTATTGAGAACATGGAATGAACAGACTGGACTGCGCTGCGAGGTTTTAAAACCACCGCAACTGCGGACTTATTACCAACCTGTTAACAGCCGTGCAATTTGATAGCGCACACAACCGAGATTTTAATTGACTTATGCAAAATAAAATCAAGGCGAGTATGCATGCAACTCTCCTCTATAAAGCAAACTGCCATGCAATACCATCGCCAATGCAATTTGATTGTTCATAAACACGGGTCAATGACCAGGTTTGTGTCACGTGGAGACGTTGCCTAGATACGCTAGTTTTCCTTGATGCCAAACAAGTCCCTGGAGCCATGTAGCGATCATTTATTCGATGAATTGCTCCACATTAACCTGTGCACGCTAGTGAATGAGGACAGCAATAAATCACCTGAAAACGGCGGCCGACGATCAAAGTTGTTCTTTTACCGGGGACGGTGGCCGACTTTTGGAAGACCGACCTCGGCACATTAGCTGATTGAACATACAGTTGACACTGTCTATGGGTGCATGATCAAAGCAAGGCGTTCAACAACATATTGCTCATCTGGTTCCTCAGTGCGATGTGGAATAATAGGCGATTTATGCTGCCCGCATCGCATTTACCTAAGCTTGGCAAATTTATATGTCAGATAAAAGGGCACATGTTTAAATCAAGAACTAAAAATATATTAAACGGGATGGCAGAAATAAGGGGATATTTACCTTGCTTTTAATTTAGAACTTCGAGGCTAAACTATTTGATTTGTGACATATTTTCTTGTTAGCCTAAGCCAGCTGTTTATTATTCATTTATGTTGGGACATCAAACTAAACGGAACGTAGTTAGTAATGCGTTAAAACAGCATTCACCAGACCCCCTTTTAAAACAAACGTTTTCCTTTGCCACGAATGAGCTGTTCAAGTTTGTACTTACAACTAGCCCGAACATCCCGTGACATGACGGGTGCCTGACGACACCGCAGTGGACACTAATTACCAGTAGTGAAGACGGCTTTTCACGACACGGTCGCCACACAATCATGAATAGGGAAGGACGACCAATTACCACGAACGCAACCAGCGCGGTATTGGAAAACCCGTGCAGCACAACCACAGAAGGCCCGGCCGGGTGTGAGTTGAACTCATGAGTCATGATACGGCGCCAGCCACAATAGATTGGCGAGGAAAACAACATCGTCAGGCGTGGCAAGGGCGGACGGCGGGGCAGCAGCACCTTCCGCTGACTGACCAGGAGGCAAACATCCTCACTGACTCCCCCCCCCCCTCCTCTGGACGGGCGGGCGGACACCCCCTCAGGGCTCTGTGGGGAGCGTCTGGCCCATCCGGCCGGTCACAGCTGCTCGTCGAGAGGGGTAAAGGGGTCGGGAGGGGTCGGGAGGGGCCGGGAGGGCCAGCGGGCGTCCGGACGGCGGAGGGGGGCCGTCTGGTCTGGTCGGGAGGGGTCGGAGGGGGTCCGCCCCCGCGCGGGGCCGCCGCGGGCGCTGTCAGGCCACACTTGAATCGCTGCCCAGCAACAAGCCTGCTCGGCCAGCCAACCGACGGGGAAACATAAATAAACAAGCGCCGGCGGCGGCGCGGTGGCGCGGCCCGGCCCGGCGCGGCCCGGGGGCCGGTCAGCTCAGGTGCTCTCTGGAGACGGATGGGCCGCCGCCAGCCACCGTGTTTATCGGAACCCGATGAGGCCCGCTGCCCTTCTCGGGTCACCACACAAGGCACAGACGCCCCGAGACGGAGGTATGTGCTGTTTGTGAGGTCAGCGACGGAAAAGCCTCTTCTGTTGTATGACGGTTTGACAGCACCGTCGGGATAATACAAAGGGGTGGTTCCGTCGGGCGCAGGTGGGTAAATATGGGATTTAGGATGAACGAGGTCCGTTAGTTTTCAAAATGGCGCTATAAAAGTGTTTGCGGCAAACGACTGGGAAGTTGTTTTCAGAGTTTTATGGAATGCTTTTAGTGTGCGTGATAAGCCAAGGATAAACATGTTGCAACGTCCTTGGGTAAAATTTTCATTTTTCATTTTTTGGAACGAAATGACGGATCGTTACATTCCCTGTCAACATAATTCAGCAATTACAACGAAGTCATTAAATCAAGGTATCACATTTCCTCGCACGCCACCCGGGCCACATAAACCGTCACAGATCGCAGCGATTTGGTCGCTACTGACGGGTACACGTGTCCGCACCCCGTCACGCACGCAGTCCGCGCACGGCGCACTCACCTCAACGCGTCTCTCCAATGTAGTCGGTGGGGACTCCGTGGTCTGTCTCAGCGTCTCAGGTGACCAAACCTCTCAGAGACACACACCAGAGCCAGACAAAGCGTCACTGACCGTCCGCGACCGGCAGACCGACTGAGCACTACTCGCCAATTCACCAAAACCGGGCGGCAGCGAGCGCTTTCTGATGCAAATTTGCCGAGCACCGCCCCTCCGACCGCTCCGACGAAGAGCTGCGAACGGACTGGCGGTGGTGGCGCCGACGCCGGGCGCGGGCGGGCCGCCGCTCCGCCCAGAGCTCTGCACGGCCGCAAACCCGCCCGGCGTTAGAGATGTGCCCGGCGGAGGGCGGGGCGGGGCGAACCGTGTCCGCTGGCAGCCGACGATTTCTGAGTGCTGATAGGGGAGATTTAGGATGTTCGAGCAATGGAAATTGCGTTGGGAAAATAGGGAATGGTTTTTAGGCCGGCTAAGGTAGTTATAACAAAATGACGAAGAAACAGGCAAAACAGATAATTTTATCGAACCAACCAATGACTTTTTATTTTAAACATATGGCACATTCCGTTCCCAAGGTATGCGATATACAAAGAATTTTACAGCACGTTGCATCAGACAGCCTTGGAAGGTCGAGTAGTCACAGCAATCGCTGCATCACTCATACCGGACGACAGATACGGATGATGCATGCAATTATCAGTCCCGACAACATATCGGTGAAATACCATACCGCGATAGCTAAGCATCAGGATTCAGAATCTCGTCACAAAGACAGTCGGCGCCGCACCTTCTGAGCCACTTCAGTTGAGGCCCACCGTACATCTGAAACCACTACAAATTACTGACCGACGGCGGAGCAGGTTTTGGCAGCTCCGTCTGCGCTGATGACACGCCATGGGGCCTATCAGCGGCGGCGTGCAGTGCCTACAATCGGAGCACGCGGAGGGAAGGCTGACTGGCCGCTGCCAACCGCCGCCGGGGGCCCTACACCAGGGCACTTCATTAGGCCCAACAAGCCCATCAGAGCGCCGGCGGCTGGCGCTGTATCGGCACCTCATCACCAGCGATCCGGCACCGGCAAGTGGCAATAACGGCATCTGATAACCGGCGACCGGCCGTAATCAGGTCTGTGCAGTCGTCCGGCCGCCGCGCTGAGCCGCAGTTGCAGAGGGTAATGTAATTTACCGGGGCGCCAATAAGGGACGCGGCGCCGGTCATCCGCATCCGTGCCGGTATGTCCAGGAAGGCCGTGATACTTCACCGTCAGTTAGAACATCTCGAGGCGCGGGCTAGAGCGATGCGCGCTCACTATCACTGTATACCCAGAGGCAGGCCGTTCGTCTTAAAAGGAGTCCAGCAGCTGCACTATTTCACGCTATACTCATAGTATGATACGATAGCCTACCGTGATAATAAAGGTGCTCATTAAATTTGTGCCACGGCCGCCGGCGCCCGTATTAGAGTGTGGGCGGAACGCCGTGCGCCGTGCCGATGGAAGCGGAAAGATCGAGCTGGAGATATACCACCCAGAGTGATATCTACTCCCATGTACGGAGAGCTCTGATAGAGTGGCATCATATCAGCGCGCATCGCTCCCGTGAGCTGCCACGCCCGACTTGAGGCAGACCGCCGCGAGGGGAGGGTGGGCCCATACAGACGGTGCTTCCCGGCTGAGCTTATTTAGTTACTTTATTCAGCGGCACTGGCTCATTTCACACTAATTAATGTTGCTATTCACGAGCATCATTTCGTGGAATATTTCAGCGGAGTTAGCGAAGAGCTTGACGGGAGGCGTCCCGCCACAGTTTGACCAGCGGAGCTTCATCCACCGGGCAGCATGATTGTAACATTTTGTGTTTCGTTATACCGCCCAGTATCGTGCGACGCCGTACCGGCCTGTGCCGTGCCGTGCCGTGCCCTCCATGCGCCGTGCCGCGATGGGCTGTGCCGTGACGCCTCGAGGAAAACAGACGCTCACTAGCCGGGCGTGTCGGCTCACGGCTGGACAATGCCGCCGCCGCCGGGCCCACACCCCGCCGGGCCCCCGCCCTGGTTTTCCTGATGGCCCGACGAGCACAAAAAGCGGCTACTTTTAGCGATGCGCACGTTAAGCCTTATGAGTGGCGTCGCGTTCGAAGTCCGGTAGTAAAAGATGGCGTGGCTGGCCCGCACCGTCTCCGGGCGCTTTGTTCAGACTGCAGTCAGCCGGCAGCCCGGGTGAGCATTTTCCTGGCGGCGACACGTCCAACACAGACGCCCTGGCGCTGCGACAACAATCGATCCAACACCAAAAATCCAGCCGCCCTTTTTGCCCTAGACAATTCGACGCAGGCGCGCTAATTTCGCCGGCGCCGACCGTCTCCATTCATGAGTCACTCCGCTACACGATGTCGGGCTGTAGGTCGACTTAAGTCGGTCAGTCGGGGCTTTGGAAGACCCTCTGCCTACAGGGCTTGAGCCTCCCTCCACTCTCCGGTGTGGTAAGGAGGTTCCGTCGGGTGGTGGTGCTGATGCTGATGCCTGCCGGCGGGCGGCGTTGCTAGGGTGTGGTACACGGGGAAGGAAGCCGACAATGCGGAGATGCGGTACATGACGTGACTGTCCTTCACCATGTGATTTCCCACTGTCCAGCGGGCGGGCTGCGGAAGTTTCCTCAAATCCAATTATAGTTTGAGCCATGAGCGTACCGCGTGGGTGTCTGCCCGGAGTAGGTCGGTTACCTGGTGCCATGTTTTATGTTTACGTTAGTAGGCATATTGAATGTTTTGATCATGTTTACCAGACGGATGAAAAAGATTTGCCTTTCGAAGTTGACCTTAAAGGTCGGTACGTAAGTGCTGCCGTCTTTACATCTGAAGCCGTGAGAGGGATTGTCCGATAGTCGCTGAGTTCTGAGACTATGAGGCGATCGTATGAATTTACGTGATTTGTACATAGGCGTAGGAACAGGGGGGGCCAGGTGGGCAAGTGCCCACCCACTTTTCGAGGTGGGGGGGCCAACCATGTGTTTTGGCCCACCCACTTTTTACGCGAGGCCCCTCGTCTCGATTTGAGAGGACGTCGTCGCCTTGCAGAATAAACAAACTCGGTAAAAATAAGTTCCACGAATCCCCACGCACGGACTCCAAGGGGCCGTGATGGATCCAAGGACTGGCCCTCTGTTCATACTTGTCAGTCGAAGCCCCTGAGAATGATGGCCTGAGAGGCCCTAGTGGATCTGAGGAGGCCCCAATATCCACACTGGTCTGGGGAGGCCCCTGACACTGGCGGCCTGGGAGGCCCCTCTATCCACACTATAGTCAGAGGTCTGAGACTGGTGGTCTGGGAGGCCCCTCCATCCACACTAGTCAGAATAAGCCCCTGACACTGGCGGTCTAGCCGAGGCCCCCTACCCTCACTAGTCAGAGGAGGCCCCTCTATCCTCAATAGTCAGAAGAGGCCCCTGAGACTGATGGTCTGGGAGGCCTATCCATCTACACTGTAGTCAGAGGAGGCCCCTGAGACTGATGACCTGAGAGGCCCTTATCATCACACCAGGCAGAAGAGGCCCATGAGACTGATGGACTGAGAGGCCCTTCTATTCATACTGGCCACAGGAGACCCCCAAAACTTTCGGTCTGGGAGGTTCCTCAATCCGGCACCAGTCAGAAGAGTCCCCTGAGACTGGGAGGCCCCTGCGACTGATGGTATGAGAGGCCCTCATATTCACACCAGTCAGAAGAGGCCCCCGAGGCTGATGGCTGTGAGGCCCTTCTGTTCATATAACTGGCCACTGGAGGCCCCTGAAACCGGTGGTCTGGGAGGGCCCTCTATACACACTAGTCACTAGTCAGAAGAGGCCCCTGAGACCGATGATCTGAGAGGCTCTTATATTCATACTGGCCACAAGAGGCCCCTGAGACTGATAGCCAGAGAGGTCCACTCCTAATGAATCAGAGGAGGGGGGCCTCTATCCACATTTACACTTTTCTAGGGAGGCCCCTGAGACCGATGGTCTGAGAGGCTCTTATATTCATACTGGCCACAAGAGGCCCCTGAGACTGATAGTCAGAGAGGTCCACTCCTAATGAATCTGAGGGGGGCCCTCTATCCACATTTACACTTTTCTAGTGAGGCCCCCGAGACTGATGGTCTGAGAGGCCCTTTTATTTATACTGTCCACAGGAGCCCCTGAGATTAATGGTCTGAGAGGCTTTTCTATTTATACTAACTAGAGGAGGCCCCTAGGATTGATGGTCTAACAGGCCCTTCTATTTATACTAGCCAGAGGAGGCCCATGAGACTGATGGTCTCTGAGAGGCCCTTCTATTCAAACTAGGCAGATGAGGCCCCTGATAATGATAGTCCGAAGAACCATGCGCGGCAACTGGCCGTGGCCATATTTCGGCTCGGTAGGGCCCCACAGAGCTCATGAGAGCACCTTAAGGGCTCCTAAGTAGACACGCTTATCCCCATAAGGGTGCCACACCGGCTTCTGAAGGCTCCTTGTAGGCATCTAAGGGCCCTTTCCGTCCTCTAACGGCTCCACCCGCCTGTGATGGCTCCACACCAGTGTTTATGAGCGCCACACAGCGGCGCCTTTGAGGGTCATACTAGTGTCTCTTAGGGCCCTATATCGGTGGCTCTGGGGACCCCACCCGGCGCCTCTGTGGGCCACCACACCTGTGCATCTCAAGGCTCTATAGGTACATCTGAAGGACCCACACCGACACCTCTGAGGGCCCCACACCAGTATCTCGGAGCTCTGAAGGCCCCGCACCGGTGACTCTGAGGACTCACCGGCTCCTGAGAGCACCATGTTGATGTCTAACGGCTCCCCACAAGGCCACTGAAGGCACCACACAAGCTCTCACTTAGCTCTAATGTCCATGTACCGGCCTCTGAGGGATTTAAGACAGCGCATTCATAGCTCCACACCAGCAATTGTAAGGGCTTCACACTGAAGTATCTGAGGGTTCCACACCGGTGTCTCTAAGGGCCACATACCGGCATCTCTGAGGGCCCCATACCGGCGTCTCCAAGGGTCCACATCCGGCGGGCACCCATCAGCGACTGAAGGTCCCACACTGTCGACTCCGAGAGCCCCATCTGCGTCTGGGAGCACCATGCCGTCTTTAAGAACCACAGCGGCTCCTCCGTACGAAAGATGGGCGTCTGCATGCCAAAGGGGAGCGGTTCTGAGACAGTAGGGCACCTACATGCAATAGAGGGGCGCCTATGAAGCCCATAGGGGCGCCTCAATGCGAAAGAGGGGCGCCTCTGAGGCCTACATATATGGGCGTCCACATGCAATAGAGGTCTGCAGACTGCAATTGATCAATGCCATGGGGGTGCATTCATAAGAAACAGGGGCGCCGGCATGGCAAAGAGAGGCGCCTTCAAGTGTCCATA